TGCTGATTCACTCCCCGGGCGGCCCAGCAGCACCTGGGGCTCGCACATCCCCCCGCGCTCCCCTCCCCGGGGTGCTGGGGCAGCAGGGAGGGCTGTCTGGGTGACCACCCCTCTCTGCGGAGGTGTTGGAGGGGTGCAGAGAACGGCCAGAGATGACACCTTGCTTGGGAGTGCTGCTCTGCTCCTAGGATCTGGGAGCTGAAGGGATGCACCCAGGGAGCCCCCCACAGTCCAGCCCTTGATTGATTGATTGATTGATCCCAAAATCAATCTGCCGAGGCTCCAGGTGGCTTGTGGGGTACATTGATCCCAGGGGTGCAATCATGGCTGAGAAATCTCAGTCCCCTCCTCTCAGAGCTGGCACAGTGGGGTGATGGGGAGCTGGCACAGAGAGGTGACAGGGATGCAATCCCTGCCCGAGACCCCATCCTGTGGCTCTGACACCCTCCCCCCAAGCAGGAGCAGCAACAAGCTGGACTGGCCTGGCCGGAGCCTGCCCCAGGACGGCAGCAAAAAAGCCGTGCATGGCACCTCGGGGGCCCTGTCTCCTTCCCGGCTGCAGTGCTCCGTCCTACTCGTCTGAATTAATTTCCATGTGCCATTAGCCGGGTGTGCAGGGGAGGAGGGTGGCAGGCGAGCTGCCATCACCCTGGTCAACTCCTCCAGCAGGTTTTACCCACCCACTCGAAAGAGCAGTGAGGGTTTGGGATAGAAGGCAAAAAAAAAAAAAAGATGCTTGCTGAGAGTTTGGGTGTGGGGACAGTCTACCCCATGTGCAGGAGGCATTGCTAGCCATGGAACAGCCTTCCTCCTCACCCTTTGGGTTTCTGTGTGCTCCCTGGTGCCCGTGGTACCCCATCCCACCTGCCCCCTGCTCTGAGATTCCTTTGCCTTGGGACTTTATCTCAGCTGGGCTTTTGCCTGCGGTGCCTGGCTAAGGTGGTTTGTCGATGCTAATCCAGCCGAAACAGCAGCACAGGGAGTATTTTTACCACTCAGCTGCCTGGGCTTGTTGGGAGCTTGTTGGGTGACCTGATGGGGAGTGTTGGCCAGCGCCCCAACTCAGCGTCTGCTCCAGCCTTGCCAGGCCAGTGTGGGAAATCAGTATGGAAAAGTCTGAGGAAGGCAGACCCGATGGGCCCCTTCCTTATCTCCACTGCCCTGGAGCAGCTCATGGGTGCCCTGGCATGCCAGCCCTGAGGTCGTGTGAGTGTCACACTGCCGCTGATGCACTGGGGCGTGATGGCAGGGGATGGTGCCAGGGACAAGGCACATGCCAAGGGTGTTAGTCGCTCCTGTGGGAGAGAAACACAAACATATGGGGAACACATGTGCAACTGGCCACCTGACAGTCTGGCTAGAGCCCCCTGTGCCATGTCGGTGTCATGGCAGAGAAGGGACATCTCCTTGGGGTCCTGCATTTACTCTGCTCCTGAAATAATCAGCCAAGCACTCCTGCAGTGCAGGATGTGCCCCAGGAAGTGCTTCCTGCTGTGTTGTGATGGATGTATTGGGAACAGCAATGCCACTGTGGCATCTGCTGTGTCCTCCCCCACTGCCTGGCACGCTTGGTCACCCAGGCAAAGATTGTCCCTGTCCCCAGCTGGTGGTGGCCCAGGAATGCAAGGACAGGCAGCCCATCCAAAGTAGTTCCTCTCTTCCAGCCTGGGGAGAGGAAGGTGAAGCCTACACCAAGGGAACAGAACAATCTCTGCCATGGAAGGATGGGGTGCAGGAAAAGCTCTCCAGCATTCATTCTTAGCTCAGGCCACAGCCCTTTTTACCTTCTTTTCTTCCTTTCTCTGCACAACAGAAAAAAGCATCTTCCAGGACTGGCAGTCAGGGCTCTGGGAGATCTTACATTGCTCCCAGTCCATTCTGTAATTAATTTGGGATACATTCTGTAATTAGTTTGGAATAGTGCTGGAGCAGTGAGTTTTCAATCAGACACACACCAGCCAGGCCATCTCCAGAAACAACCTGTGATTGGGGTGATGAGTTGCAGAGCCAGGATCCCATGGAGACTTTCCTACTGCTTAAATACCTACCATAACAAGGTCCTGCCAGCCCCAGTTTTCTTTCTGGCCTTTGCCCTCCATTTGCTGGGAGAGCCTGGGCGTTCTCCATCATTTAAATAAGCCTGATACTGCTCCCCAGAGCTGAGCAAAATGGACATGATACCAGTGCAGCACTTATTCAACAGCCCTTGCCATGCCAGAGCTGTACCCCTCAGCGCTCGTGTCCCCTGCATAGAATTCCTGGCTCTGTCCTCAGGCATATCCGTGGCAATCACCCCGAGATTATCAAGTGGATTAACATGGGTGAGTCAGCGTGATGCTCCAGTGCTCCAGGCAGGGCCGGAGATGATGCTTGCTGGTGGGATGGTGATGGCTGAGCATCACCATGTCAGGGACAGGGCTCCCTGGAAAGCAGTGAAGGAGGCTGAAAGCCTTCAGGACGATGTGGCAAAGGCACCTGTGCTTGTGACACCCAGGGTGCCTAGGGCCGATTGCTGAAAGCCATGGGATGGTGCCAGGGCTGGTGCCGGTGACTGGCAGTGAGTCAAGGCTGGTGCCAGGCAGGCGAGGAGGGAGGCACAGCAGCCAACTCCCGTGGAGGTGACCTGGCCCAGGTCTGCCCTGACTCCCTGCTGAAGGACGCCTGACTCCAGTCACTCATGGGCACACAGCACCATGTGATGGACCTGCATCAGGCTCCAACTGCTCATGATATGGCCACCCAGCACACTGCCTGCAGAGGGGCCTGCAGTCATCTTGTCTCTCTGATGTCACGTGTCCCCAAAGCCCTCACTCCGGGCTCATCATTCTCTCCAGAGGAGTGATGGGTTTGGTGACCTGTCCTTCATCCAGATGAAACATCCCAGGCAGACAGGGAGCTCTGCTGGCAAAGCTCAAGGGGTACAGACTGTGGGCAGGGATGCAGGGAGTTACAAATCCAGCGTGGGCACAGCACTGAGACGTGGGGAGACAGTTCCTGGGGCTACACTGCCCCTCACCATTGCCTATTGCTTGCCAGGCGGGGTACTGATGTCCCATGGCTCCGCAGCTGTGCAGGGCACCCAGAGGGGCCCCTAATGCTGCAGCAGCAGTGAGGGCAACTCAGCTCTGCCTGCTCCAACTGCCTCTTTGTGTTGGACTCTGGGCAGGAGAGCCACAGCTGGCTGGGGCTGAGCTGCTGTGAGTGCACAGTGCCATAAACCACCTGGGCCTAGCCTTTCAAACCCAAAGAGAGAAAATACGGAGCCTTATTTTAGCACCCAGCAAACACCCAGCACACATGAAGCGCTGAAAGCCAGCACAAAGCTATGGGAGCGATCGCTGCTTAGAAAGCAGGCTCGGCTTTGATCCGACGGGAATCTCAGGTTATTGTTTGCTGATGATAAACAAGTGTTTAAAACACGGGAAATAGGTGCTGACGTCGTTTTGTTTTGCCGGTGCTTGCCAGCCCTTTGGCAGAGGAGGAAGAGAGTGAATCACCCTGTGCCTGCCCTGGGAAGCCATTCCCAACCGCTCCCCATGTGCATAGGCAAAGCCTTGGAAACCATTTAGGAGTGAAACTGGATTGGTAGGGTGACCTCAGGCAGTGGAGACTTCTTTCTTTTTCCCAGAAAATGTGTAGCAAAGACTTGTTCTGCTCTCAGTAACAGACATTAGCTAAACCCATTGTCTGTTTTCCCTCCTTGCGCCTTCCTGGAAAGGTGCCTGCTTCCCTGCCTTCACCTTGACTGCAGCTTTGGGAAAATATATCCCAGACGGTTCTGTTCCAGACACCAGCCATCAGCAAAGACATGGTGTGTCCCCGTTTTCCTGGGGAATTGCCCTCCTTGGTGGACTTTGCTGGCCCACATCGTGTGTAGCCATAGGAAGGCAGTTTGAGAGAGGGCCCGCTGGCAGTGGGAAGGGGACAGGCAGATTCCATTAAGCAGGAATTGCACAGCGTGCAATACTGCGACGCTTTCACAACCCGGCAGTGTGCTTTGATGTGGGCTCTGTGGGATCCGCCCTGCGACCCAGCCGGCTGCGCTAGGGCTGGGACTCCCAAGGCTGGGATTATGAGTCGGGCTCAGCTGCTCAGCTGCTCATCCTATGGCTTTGGGCGAGGGCTTGGCACTTAGGCCCTATTTCTTATCTGGAAGGGAGCTATCAATATTACCTTCCCCTTAAAAAGACTGTGTGGAGAGGGTGGGGATTTGTTAATTGGTAATTTTTAGGGAGGAGGGAGAGGAGGAAATGCTGAACCAATGCCAAGAACTGAGTCCAGGAGGGTGAGCCTGGCCCTGCAAAGCGCACACCATTTTTGGGGTGTGCATCGTGAGGGACCCCGGCACAAGGTGGGAGCTCCTGCCTGGCAGTATGGGTTTTTGGGGCTGGTGATGTGTGTTCGGGCATGTCTGGAAGATGAAAGGGCTGATTCCCCTTTTGATCATGAAATTCTCATAAATGTTAATGGGAATTACTTCAAGGTCTAACAAGGGTTGAATTGCAGCCCCCAAGTGAAGG